AGCTTAAAGCTGATAATAATGTGGAGATGAAGCCCCCACACCCCCTCGCACAGGAAAACCAATGAATACTCCAGCTTCAACATCGCTGCGCCCATTTATATTATGTATAATACTAGTAATAATAATAATACTGATAATGCAGTACTGCAAGCTATATATATATATATATATTCAGATTAATGGTTGCAACTTTTAAATCTGAATTCTGACTATTAATCACAATTTTGTTAATTATTTTCTTAATCTGTTTGTAAAAATATTTTTTCAAAACTGAAATAAAGAGTTTGTTTAGTGTGATGTGCTATCTGGTGATTACTGAAGGTGTTAGAAGGTGTCAGCTTGTACTGAAGAGATGCATGTCACATTTGATATGGGTTGTGTTTAATGCAGAACATGCATCAGACACTTTACAAATGGAAACTTTCCTGCTGAAAAAATAAGCTTGAGCCAGCCTAGGATGGTTGGCTGGTTTTTGCTGGTCGACCAGCCTGGTTTTAGAGGGGTTTTGGCCACTTCCAGCTATTTCCAGATGACCAGCTAAAACCAGCTTGACCAGCCTAGCCAGGCTGGGAGCCCAGCCAAAACCAATTATGTCCAGCTTTAACCAGGCTGGTCAAGCTGGTTTTAGCTGGTCATTTTCCAGCATGACCAGCTAAAATCAGGCTGGAAATGGCTGTAAACCAGCCTAGAAATGGCCAAAACCCCTCTAAAACCAGGCTGGTCAACCAGCTAAAACCAGCCAACCAGCCTAGGCTGGTTTAAGCTGGATTTTTTCAGCAGGGTTATGTTTAAATTATATAAATAATTAATGCTTGGGCCTGGCTGATATCTGTATTTTCTATTTCTTAGTTGACATTTTCACAAGTTGAGATGATTCCTGAGGGTCTTAATAAAAAAAAGTCTGTATCATTCAAGAATTCATTATAAGAATTACATCCCGTGACACCTTTAAAGCAGGCTAGTGTGTGTTAGATTTCATCTAGTAATAATTTTTTTTTTCAAAAAGCTTGACATGCTGTCAAATTTATAATAATATCCATCTCAAGCATATTTTATTTAGACCAGGGCTATCCACACTCGGTCCTGAAGGGCCTGTGTCCTGAAAAGTTTAGCTCCAACCCTAATCAAACACACCTGAACAAGCTAATCAAGCTCTTACTAGATACACTAGAAACTTCCAGGCTGAAAAATCCAGCTCGACCAGCCTGGTTTTGGAGGGATCTTGGCCATTCCCAGGCTGATTTCCAGCTATTTCCAGCCTGGTTTTGGAGGGATCTTGGCCATTTCCAGGCTGATTTCCAGCTATTTCCAGCCTGGTTTTAGCTGGTCAGGTTTGAGATGACCAGCTAAAACCAGCTTAACCAGCCTAGCCAGGCTGGGAGCCTAGCCAAAACCAGCTTTGTCCAGCTCAAACCAGGCTGGTCAAGCTGGTTTTAGCTGGATTTAGCTGGTCATTTTCCAGCCTGACCGACTAAGACCAGGCTGGAAATGGCTGGAAACCAGCCTGGAAATGGCCAAAACCCCTCTAAAACCAGCCTGGTCAACCAGCTAAAACCAGCCAACCAGCCTAGGCTGGTTTAAGCTGGATTTTTCAGCAGGGTGTGTCGAGTCAAGTTGAAACTAAGATCAGCAGGACACCTGCCCTCCAGGACACACCTGAATTAGACTCTCTGACCTTACGAAAGGAAAACAAAAGCAAAATAATCCATCACTGCTGCTGTTTTCATCTGCCACTTCGAAAGCGAAATAAGATTCATTAAATATAAATCTAGAAAGCTGATCTTTTATTTCTAGCCAACATTGTATTACAGTCTCACAACTTTAAAAATATACAATTTTAGAGCATTTAGAACATTTATAAAGAAAACAACAACAACAAAAAACTAACAGCAATTGTTATTTGAGAAATCACAACAACAAAAACATAAATCAGGGAAAATAAAGTGATAGAGTGTGCTTAATCAAGAGTAGATATACCCGTATCTGAGTTCAAAACCCGAGGTTTGTCTTCTTTTTTTAATCCCCCGGCTCTCCGACAGAAGGAAACACCGAAGGAAACCCCACTTTTCTTTTCTGATGTGTGATTAGCACCATCGCTCTTCAAAGACACCAGGTCCAAGATCCTGTGTGTGTGTGTGTGTGTGAGAGAAGAGAAAGAGAGAGAAATAGAGAGAGAGAGAGAGGGAGGGTTTGGTTTTGTTCCATCTTTAGTGTCTCTTCCCTGGCTGAGAACAGGCTGAGTGTAATGCTAATGTAAACTAGCATGTTGACCCCACACGGAGAGCTCGGCTGAAGGCTGCTAATACATTCAGCTCGCCTGCTAGACCGAAGGTACAAACGCAGTTCATAAGCATGAAACAAGACTGCCATTACGGAAATAACAGTGACTATCTCATTTAGCATATTCACAGAACACTCATGTTGATATATTCTCGTACAATGGAGTACATGTGTTTTCACCCAGTAGTATTGGCTTCCTATAATACTGATTAAAAAGACATACCCTGCAGAAAAAAGGCTTGAGATTAGCATAACTAAGAGGTGCGTGGCATCACGAACAAGTGAGTTTTGATTGTCGTATTTTTGTTTTCATTTTGGGATTTGCTAGCATATGTTGTTCTACATTTTGACGTTTGATAAGAGAGTATCAGCTGACTAACTGTACCGCGGTATCTGTGAGGTGTCCTATAACTCCTGAAGGCGCACCAGCAGTACACATTTTCCAACATACTGTAAAAACGTACCCCTGTCTACGTTTCTGGAGATCGTGAATTATGTATCCAGAGGTATATATGGCTGCATTTCATCTTTAAAGTGAACACTATGGGACGGTATGATGTCATTTCTTTTCGTGCTACCAGCTGGCCGATTTCCTCTCTATGGATGGCGTTTTGGCGGTAACCAGTTTGTACATTGGCTCACCACATGTATTGATGGACTTAAGAAGCAGAATGCAATGTCGGGGTTTAAGTCCGGTGAAGAACGGATCCAGAAAGCAGGCAAGACAAGAACAGAAGGCAAAAAATAAAAAATAAACAAGTAAATATCAGGGTGAGAACGTGGTAAAATCTGAAAACGTGGTAAAAGTCAGGCGAGGGCTTTCTGGATGGCTTTTGAAAACACTATTGGTTGGGTTCAGGGAAGGGGGTTATCAGGGGTCTGTTCTCCTTACCTCAATTAAATGATGTAAGATGATGTGTCAGAACAGAAGCCGAAAAAAATAAAATAAATAAATAATCAAGTAAATATCAGGGTGAGAATGTGGTAAAATCTGAAAACATGGGAAAAAATCAAGCGAGGGCTTTCTGAATTGGTTTTTAAAACACTATTGGTTGGGTTCAGGGAGAGGAGTGATCAGGGGTCCGTTCTTCATATCTTGCTTAAATGATCTAAGATGATGTGTCAGATCCTGGATGTTAATCTTGATGACTGATCTCTGGCTAATTTGGTCTGGAAAAAAAGTCTGGATGAGCTGATATGAGATCGCTGCGTGTGTTGTGAAGGACAGATCTATCCATCCACAAAATCATGATTGATTTGATTGGCTGACGGCACAGCAGCGTAATGACATCATCTGATTAATATTAAATTATCCATAGGAGCAAAGTTACATACAATTCATAGTAATCAGTTTAAATATGATATGCAATAACTTTACAGCATTACTATGGGCTGCAGGTGTTACACTTCCATGTGTCAAGTGTCTTAAGCAATTTATTTAGTTTTACATTTTAGATCGGATTTTCTTCACTATAGTAGCCTTTAGGCCTATTTTAGTTTCTTAATTGGTGTAAGGAATTTAAATTAATTTTGCATCAAAAAGCATTTTTAATTTGTTATAGGCGTCTGCAACTTTTGCAATTGTACTAAAGCTGGATCGGTACCTTAAAATAGTATGCATTTGTATCTAAAAAATCCATATTAATAAATGTTCTCTGTGATCCCCTTGGAGAGAACCATCTTGTTATATATATATATATATATATATATAGGGGCGACGTGGTGGCGCAGAAGGTAGTGCTGTTGCCTCACAGCAAGAAGGTGACTGGTTCGAGCCTCGACTGGGTCAGTTGGTGTTTGTGTGTGGAGTTTGCATGTTCTCCCTGTGTTGTGCGGGTTTCCTTTGGGTGCCTCAGTTTCCCCACAGTTCAAACACATGCGGTACAGGTCAATTGGGTAGGCTAAATGGTCCGTAGTGCATGTGTGTGAATGGGTGTTTGTGGATGTTTCCCAGTGATGGGTTGCAGCTGGAAGGGCATTCACTGCGTAAAAACATGCTGGATAAATTGGTGGTTTATTCCGCTGTGGCGACCTCGGATTAATAAAGGGACTAAGGTGAAAAAAGGAATTAATGAATATATATATTATTAATTATTATAAATTATAATTTTTAAAAACTATTTTCCTATTTTCCCCAGTGTATATTACCTATAGGTTACTTCTGTAGGAAAACATCAGCATTCAGTACATACTTTCAGTATCACCTTTGCTTGAAATATGCCGATCTAATCCTGTTCATATGAATAAAGCTGCTGCTCCTGAGCAGGTTTGAGCTACCAGACCTGTTGCTATGACAACAACTCTCAGATCAGTTTTGAAGAACAAAACGATCCTGGATCATGTCAAATTTTCAATAACCAAATCTAGCTAACTGAGTAATCCACGTATGAAGAACAGACCCCAGGTCAATCAGTGCTGTTGAAAACACTACTGGTTGAGTTTAGGGATGGAGGAAGGTGGGTCAGTCGATCAGTCAGTCAGTCTACAGCGGCCTCTGGTGGATTTACGTGAGAACAGCAGGCGAGAATAACACTCATGAGAGAAATTTGAGATCTGAAAAAGCGTACACAGTGACCTCTGGTGAATTAGAGAAAAAAAATGCAAAGAAATGTAGCTCCTGGGACATATTTGGCGTTCTCCAGAAATGTACATAGGGGTACGTATTCAGAATGAGCCTGGGTTGACATTTTTAACCTCTCCCTAATTAAACACACCTACATCAGCTCATCAGAACATTAGAAGAGACTCCAAAACCTGAAGTTAAGTGAGACATATAAAAAAATGTACCGTTGGTGTGCCTCCAGGAACAGGGTTGGGGAGCACTCCTACAACTAAAGCAGGTGAAGAGTGTCAGATCAGTGGTGTGTGTGGGAGTGCTGAGGTAAAGGGCTGTGTGTGTGTGTCTGGGCTCCGGGCTCCAGCTCAGGGGCCGACCAGCGTCTCTTGCGGGGCCGATGTGTGTTCTGGAGTTCAGTGCCGGATGGAGGCTCTCTGCTGCCCCCCGGTGGGCCCCGGCTCTCGCTGGGGGCGAGGTTGGGTTTGTGTGTGGGTGTAGGGGTCAGGGCCAGACACACGTCTCCTGTGCTGAGCTGTCGACACTGCAGGCCGTACAGCTGCGCGCTCCGCTGGGGACTGCAAGACGACCAGCCGCGGTCCCGCACGAAGAACGGGTACTCCGATAACACCGTCAGAAGCTCCTGAACAACAACAGAGAATAGTTCAGTCAGTTGCTTTATGCAGTTGATTATAGACATAATGATCTACCCAAGCACCGGATAACTGGAATACCCTAGTGTAATAAACCCAAAGGTTTCCTGTTTACTTTGGGTATTTCTGATCTCAGCGAGGTGATGTTTGGGTCTGCTATTTCAAGCATTTAATGCTTATAAATGGCGAGCCACTACTCATTTAATTAGTGTGGAAATGAGACAATGACCAAACCTTTTTACTTCTCCAGTCAAATTAATGAAAGGCACAGTGGTACACTGGAAATCTGACAATTAGCCAATCAACAAAACTGTCTCAAGATCCTTAACCACACAATAAACTCCCCAAAATATCATATAATAACTGCATTTTCCTTTTGGTATAGGTTTTTGGAGGTGTGCTTAGCAAGGAGAAAGAGAATTCAGGTGAATAAAGGACAAACAATTCTCATCGTCATGCATTCTATAGGAGACAGTAGATATGTTCTATATATAGAGCAATTCAGACAGTGTAAATATGCCTTATTGAAACCGTAGAGTACTGTAGAGTACGTACAATGTCTTTAGATCTTTTATAGATCTGTTCTTACTGTTATTTGACCTAAAAACTCCAGTTACATCACATCACTGTCATTTCCAAACCCCAAGTCATTCAAGGTACAGTGAAGTGCACACTGGAAGTAGTATGTCATTTAGGCAACTCTTTTATGACTGTTCCTTATACTGTTTTAAACAATTAAACCACAACAGCATTTCCAAAATTCAGTGCAAATTTCCACTACTGGCCAATCCTCACTTCATTATCACTGCTTCTGTTTTCATTTAAACTCTCTGAATTTGAACACTGAGCTTCCACATTACTGGACAATCATTTACTCAATGTACAAAGCTGACTACTTGATTAGAGACTCTCTTCTCAATAATGTTTTTTTCCTTAGGTGAACCCTGCCAGAACTTTTCAGAGAACATTCACTTTTATCTCTATTATAGATTTATATCAGCATCAACAAATTCATGATCTCTATGTGCACGTGACTGCTGGTTCAGTCGTTGCATCAGGAAGAGGTTTCAAGTTCATTTTCATGGTTACCCGTGTTTGTGTGTATATTTTTCCTCATTATTTTGGTAGACTGTGGACATCACTAGTATACTGTGTCTTCACTTGAGCTGTGCTTATACAGTCAAGTCTGGAATCACGCCGCAAGTGTGTGAATCATTCCAGGGTTGACTGTAGTTTCATTTGTGTATGCATGTGTGTTGAGCTGGACTAACCTGAGTGTTTCGGTCTGTGAGCAAGACCTGCAAGTGGTTGAATCCGTAAGTGGGTCCTGGTGAGATCAACAGAATAGTGCAGGAGCTCAGGTGAAACTCCGGCAAGGTGTCAGCACTGCGCAAAAAGTCTTCTGTCTTCAGCTCCTCCACCCTTTTCAGATGGCCACCAGCTAGTTCAATCAGGGAACCTTTGGCAAAATGAGGTAGGACTGCAGAAGGTGGAGGGTCTGGACCCATGAGCACAGCAAGGGGAGGGCGGCAGGGTCCTGCTGGAGAACTCCAGTCTGTCTCTGAACCATGGCTGTTGTGTTGGTTCTGGGAGCTCCTTGCGGAGCAGGACAGGGGAGATCTCGGCTGTGGGAACACTTGAGGGTTCTGCTGAGCAGAAGGACAAAGAGACCCCAGAGTATAGTAGATCTGAGCTCCGGCTGGAGAGGCACTACCACCAAAATGGTCCTGAGAAGTGATGGCCTTCCCTGCCTTTGTGTCAGGTGAGGGGGGCATTGAAGCTTTGGGTGTTCCCCGAGGGTCCCTGTCCCACGGTGAGGAATGTGCACTTGTACTCACTTGTGGCGGAAGGCGCTTCTCAGGGGTCTGTCTGCTTGTGTTCTCCTGTCTTCTTCTGCCATTGGCATGTGGAGCATCTAACCTGCTGACGCTGTCATTCCCATAGTCGTTGCAGGAGGGCACCCTTCTGCTGAACCCAGACTTGCAATCTTGGCCATCGATGCCGTTGTGCCGCCTACTCTGGTACCTGAGTCTGCTGTCGGTGAGGCTGTCGGGCGGATAAACGGCAGGCTGTGGGAAGACATGGGGGGAGAACAGAGATGAGCTGTAGTCTGGCCGACTGAGGCCACAGGACCACATTTCCCTGGAATCCCCACTGTAGACACTCTTGAATGTGGGCACGGAGAGGAGCGGCTGCATGTTAATGTGAGGGATGTCGCTGCTGAGCCAGCGAGAGTGCTGAGGAACGCTCTGCTCCAGTCCTCCATCCACACCCCGTCCACACAGCGCCTCTCTCCAGGACCCGCGCCGCTCCCCCAGCTGTAGAGGCAGGTATGTGTGGGGATGTATAGAGGGGGTGTAGGACACCGGCCAGGGTAGCGGCAGCGGGACAGGTGGCAGCAGATCCCCACCCTCTCTGGGACCCTCTGTAGGCTGATGTGGCCTCCGGCTCCGGAAAGGTGCAGGAGGTTTGAAGTCATCCTCTGGGGCTGGCTGATCCGTAGAGCCCTGGCGGGACTCCCTCTTTTTTGGGGGGAGACATTCCTTGCTGCGGTCTGGGCTTGGATTCATGGGACAATCCCACGGGCCTCCTAGGCCACACTAGGTTACATGGGCTGGGGAGAGCAAAGGGCTTGGAGAGAGATGAGTTCTGATCAGCATCACGCACAGCTCAAGTCACACACCGCCAGCTCCTGAACACACACTCACCTGACAGGAGAAAGAGGAGAAGAAAACACACATCACTGATCACTCGCAGAGCATCAAAGCCAGAAACAACTCTGAATGACACATTTCTGAATGCCTGAAACGTTTAAATGAAAGTGAAACGCACTGAGCCAATTACATATTGGTCATGAAGACATGTGGAATCACTCTGAAATGACTTTGTTTGCTCGTAAAACACCTTTGTCTGATGATATTAAAATACTCTGAGCAAATTCTGTTTGTGTTTCTTAATTCCAGCATGGGGTCCGTTACAAATATTGACAAACTACAAACAGTTTTTACTTGCACAGCAATTATGATTGCTTTAGATATATTTATTTGAACTAAAAAACATAAATTTAAGGATAAAATAGCACATTTGGCTAAATTAGATGTTTTTTCAAAAGTTGGTTCAAATGTTTGTGTCTTTCTGACGTATCTAAATTCTGTATTTTGAATGTAGGCACTCGCTGTCCAAGCAGAACAATCCCAGTTGTCATCCTCTCCAAAGCCAGTCACTAATATATTATGATACCTACCTGTGATTATACCTGTCAACCCTCCCGTTTTTCCCGGGATTCTCCCGTATTTTACAGTTCTGTCCCGCAATCATCCCGTAAAGGTATTTTCCCGTATTATTTTCAGTCTTTTGCTAAAGGGTGGCAATAAACATTGAAGAGCCAATCCTCCCTATAGACAACCCATACAGCCCAACCACCAGGGGCCGCCCTTGCTCTTAAACGTGAGTCTGTTCTGTGGTTTAATTTTATTTAGACATGAAAACACTTTAAAATGAATATTATTTAATAAATAAATATTATAAAATCGCGGGATTCCCTTTTCCTTCATTACAGGTGCCGTGGCCCCTCCTATGCAAGGCTCAAAACAGTCATATAGCAGTGCGTGACTGTCAGCTGACGCGCTCTATAGTGATAAATCTGTACACGCGATGTGAAGCAGAGTGAGAGTCCAGGTTTTGGGTGCATGTTTGAACAGACAGATACACAAAATTAATAATAATAACAACTAAAGATATCGATCTTGGTGGTGGTTTTTCCAAACACATCTAACTTTGTCCTAAATGACTATAAAAAGTAACAAAAGCAAGAGAAAATATCAAGGGAAATATCCATTATTATGGTGGGCATGACTCTTATTTTTATTTTATTTTACATCGAAATGTTGACGTATGCCTTTGATACTTAAAAGTTCAGAAAAAAATCATTTGTTGTAACAAAACTGTGATCAAATACACACACATATGCACACACACACAAACCTCCTTAAAGTAGTGAAAGATGCTAGTCATTTACACCTTCTTATGGAGGAGTTTCTGTAATGTCAGTTCAACACTCTGAATTAGGCACTTATATTTGACTGCTGCACACCGCCAGCACATCTGGTCTCTCTCTACGCCTCTGTCTACCACACTGTCTGCATGGACTGAACCCAATACCCTGTTGTCGTCTCCATGGAAACTGAGTCCATACATCTACAGTGACCAAAGAAGGCTAAGAGGGTTATATAGGGATCCTGTCAGGAAACGTAGGCCGGCAAACTGTTCAGCGCTCATCGCATGTTGAGTAAAAGAAAAAAACAAATCAAGTTCTGGAATGAATAATCTGTGGGGGGAATATTTACTTGAATAACAGAGAGAGAGAGAGAGTTGAGCATTAAGACTCTTCCTTAAATAAAACATTGATCTGTCAAGTGATTAAAAGTGCTTCATTATACTGTATGTGTAGATTGATATATGTGTGTTTCGTGTCTGAATGCTGCACATGATAGCAATTCATGATGCACGAAGCGAAATCTTGAACTGAACATGGAGAAACAACATTTAAATATTCATTTTAAAGATTTTTGTTGTGACAATAAACTGCTGTGATGTGAGTTATTGTAAATGGAAAACGCACTGCAAATTGATATACACTCACCGGCCACTTTATTAGGTACACCTTACTAGTACCGGGTTGGACCACTTTTTTCCTTCAGAACTGCTGATTCCAAGCTACTGGAAATATTCCTCAGAGATTTTCCTCCATGTTGACATGATAGCATCACACAGTTGCTGCAGATTTGTCGGCTGCACATCCATGATGCCAATCTCCACCACATCCCAAAGCTGCTCTATTGGATTGAGCTCTGGTGACTGTGGAGGCCATTTGAGTACAGTGAACTCATCGTCATGTTCACCAGTCTGAGATGATTGAGCTTTATGACATGCTGCGTTATCCTGCTGGAGGTAGCCATCAGAAGATGGAGACACTGTGCTCATAAAGGGATGGACATGGTCAGCAGCAATACTCAGGTAGGCTGTGGCGTTGATGCTCAATTGGTACTAATGGACCCAAAGAAAATCTCCCCCACACCATTACACCACCACCACCAGCCTGAACCGCTGATACAAGGCAGGATGATCCATGCTTTCATGTTGTTGAGGCCAAATTGTGAGCCGAGCATCCGAATGTGTCAGCAGAAATGGAGACTCATCAGAGCAGCAACGTTTCTCCAATCTTCTATTGTCCAGTTTTGGTGAGTCTGTGTGAATTGTAGCCTCAGTTTCCTGTTCTTAGCTGACAGGAGCGGCACCCGGTGTGCTCTTCTGCTGCTGTAGCCCATCCGCCTCAAGGTTGGACGTGTTGTGTGTTCAGAGATGCTCTTCTGCAGAGCTCGGTTGTAACGAGTGCTTATTTGAGTTACTGTTGCCTTTCTATCAGCTGGAACCAGTCTGGCCATTCTCCTCTGACCTCTGGCCTCATCGACAAGACATTTGCACCTTGGTTGTGCATGAAAATCTCAGTAGATCAGCAGTTTCTGAAACACCAACAACCGTGGCACGTTCAAAGTCTCTTAAATCCCCTTTCTTCCCCATTCTGATGCTCGCTTTGACCTGCAGCAGATCATCTTGACCATGTCTACATGCATAAATGTGTTGAGCTGCTGCCATGTGATTGGCTGATTAGACATTTGCGTTAACGAGCAGTTGGACAGGTGTACCTAATAAAGTGGCCGGTTAGTGTATTTAAAAAGAATCTTAAAAAATCCCATAGGATTTTGAAATACCCATAGGAACTTGAAAGTTCTGCAAACTGCTTTTCTTAGTGGTCAGACGACATATCTTAACCTGACATTTACTACAGTTAACCTTTGCAATAACTCAGAGGCTTAACTGAAATAGTTCTGTTAACTCTGCAGCTCTAGTTCACACTACCTGCAAAGCATCGCTCAATGAACAACCAAGAGCAGCAATAAAAAGGAAGTGAAAATAATGACAGAATGAAGAGTAGCAGCACATCTCCAGCACACAGAAGCAGGAGTCAAAGCGTGATCAGAACGAAAAGCACCGCTGACCTGAAGAGACTGACCTGGATGGGCTGTTCTGTGCAGATTCCCGTGTGACGCCACTGCAGTCCATCACACCTGCATCTACACACACACACATGCAGACACACCACTGATGCAACGGTGTTTGCAAATCTACAGGCAAACTGTGGTGTCACACCATGTCGAAAGGCTGCAAGGCTGACGGTGAAGAAGTGTGAGAGTTTGTGCGTGTGTGTGCATGTACACAAGGCTGAGGAAATGAGTAATAGCGTGCACTGAGAGGCATGTCTGCTGTGCAACAACACACAGGCAGACCAGTTGCTGCTGTCGCCCACTCGCCTTACTCACCGAGAAAGGGATAAGCACACACTCTATCACACACACACACACACACACACACACGCATGCAATAACAGACGGGTAATTACACACACTCCCACTCATCCTATCGCTCTCAAACACACACTCTCAACTCTGAGCATATGCATTTACATACGTGACAAGTATGTAGATGGATAGTGATGCAGCTCCTGTTTCATGCTTGTACCGTAAGCAGCAATCAGGGATTTCTGATCATAAACTGGGGAAACATTTAATGCTGTCCTCACGTAGAGCATCTTTTGTCTTGTTTCTAGTCCAGTTATTTTAAAACTCACAAATCAAGAAGCACTAAAAATTAAAAGATTTCGGCAAAACTGATGCAAACAATTTATATGGGCTGAATTTAAACTAATTAAATTGATTATTGTTCAACTTGATTTGTTGGTAACACTTTATTACACACATACAAATGCTCAATTCCTGACTTACAAGCACTTTTAATAATAATAATAATAATAATAATAATAATAATAATAATAATAATAATAATAATAAAATAACAATATTAATAATAAGAATAATAACAATAACAATAATAATAATAATAATACAAATATTAATAATAATAATAACAACAATAAAAACAACAACAACAATAATAATAATAATAATAATAATAATAACAATAATAATGATAATAATAATACAAATATTAATAATAATAATAACAACAATAATAAAAACAATAATAATAATAACAAAATAATAATAACAATAATAATAATAAAATAATAATAATAATAATAATAAAATAATGATAACAATAACAACAACAACAACAACAACAACAATAATAATAAAATAATAATAACAACAACACTAATAACATTAATCATAATAATGACAATAATAATAATAACAACAATAATAAATATAATAATATTAATAACAATAATAATAACAACAATAAAACAACAATAATAATAATAATAATAATAATAATAATAATAATAATAATAATAACAACAACAACTACAACTACAACTACAACAACAACCAACAACAACAATAATACTATTATGTTTTATTTAAATGCGCCTTTCTGGGTGATGTGAAAATGTGCTTAATAATTGTACATAATTTGCTACAGATTAATTTTTCATGACAATGAAGTATGGCATTCTTTACAAACCATTAGTATTTATTTTTATTTTAGTAATTTGGACTAGAAACAAGACAAACACTCTATGGAAAGCATTTTTTTTTTGGTGCAGTTTATGGGATTCATTGTGTAAATGTTTACTAAAAAAGTATGTCTTTAATAAAGATTGCCAATGAAGAAATATCTTAATTTG